AATTTCAGCGTTGCCAAAAAACCACCATACACACGGCCCGTTTTACTGACAGTGTCACAAAATGAGAGGACGTGGTATGCTCATCATTAGGTCTCAGGTGGCCATAAAACTCAAGAGCTGCCAGTATGTCCAATACAATAAAACAGAATAATATTATCATAGGTTGTTCTGTCTCGACTCTAGCATATGGCACATTCAGTTCAATTTAATTTATGTAGCATGACTTCACAATTACAACAATCACCTCAACATACTTGCACATTGTTTTTAGATGTGAGAATGTGCCAGACTTTGGTCTTTTACAAGTCTTGTCAAACTCTTCCAGTGTATCGGAGGCATAAGGAGAACTGAGATAGATGCTGAAGTTCAAATAAGGAAACCCAATACATGTGAAGAGAAGTTAGCAGAACAGTGCTGTGATTTTGCTAAATCAGTGCCCTGAGCAAAGACTTGAGAACAAAAAGGAGGAAGAAGATCGACATCACTGGGCACAATGCAATGAAAAGGAACCAGTTCTTACCCATGTATCCAACGGTGCCTACTCTCCCTCGTATCGTCTCCCCTTCAGGGATTTGCACAGCAAGGCCCAAGTCTGAAATTCGAATATGTCCTAAACGATACCCACAGATAAATCGCAAAATGAGAGAGTGTTCAATTTATGTTTCAGATTTAAATGCATGCTTTCTTAACAATAATTTTCAAGTTATAACTTACAAGGCACACGACAACATGCACACAAGACATCCACAGTGCCGTGGAAATGGCCACGTTACACTGACTTGGAACAGAAGCGGGGAGAAGGAGAACGAGGGGAAAAGAGCGGTGCTAAAAATGAGCACATTGCTCAATTTCAAGATATGCCCAATTTGGAGAATAAATGATCTAAGTGTGAGTCAGAGGAAAGAGCGTGATGTGAGAAACTTGAGATGACTTTTCAGCCCCAAAAGATGGGGAGACGTTCTGCTGCTGGGCTTGAACATTATGAACACGACAAGTTACAAAGTGCGTGTTTGTTTTGGACATTATGAGCCACAAGTTACAGAAAAAAAATAACGACAAAACAAAAAAATGTCTTTGGAACACACGTGAAGTAAATTAAACAAGAAAGCAACAGTGAAAAAAGAGCTAGGACATACCACGGTCATCCAGAAGGATGTTTTCAGGTTTCAGATCCCTGTAAAGAGAAAAAAAAAAATGACACATTAGAGATGAATTCTGATTTTGTGATAATTTTAACAACAGGGAGAGAACATTAAACCCTTGGATAAATATTTGTATTATTTATGAATTTACTATTCTGTTTTCATTAGTTGCCTCTTCTCTTCTTGAGCTACTACAGCCTTTCATGTATCATATATCTTTATTTGCTTCATTTATTGCACCGGCCTGTAATCTCCTGGCTGAAGCTTTAAAACTTAAGCCTTTTTTAATTAAGCCCAGTCTATTCTATTCTATTTAACTTGCACAGCAACATGTTATTTTACTCTTTTGTAATCAAATCTATCGGACTGCTGCCAACTTAAAACCACAATGCCAACTGTGAAGGTTACTGTAACACATGCTGAGATCAAGACGCACGGCATGTTGTTATAACTACACCGGCCATGTGCATGTGGGTCTTTTAAGAACATCAGTGTTTATGTTAACATTACTCTCAGGCCCCATTGAGTTTGACATGTGAATTACACCTCACTGAAATCAGTACACCATTAATCTGGTCACACTTCATCATTCAAGATTTCCTTCTGCACCCTTCCCACTGTTACCCTCCGGTGGAATAAATCGCTTCATAACACCAGAGCTGGAACAAATGGTTGGAAATAGTGCTGGGTTTTTTGTTGTTGTTTTTTTCAGCCATCTTGAGCACTGAAGTTTGCCACTTAGGTCTTTTTCCTCAATGTATCCATATTATATTACTCTGCTGGGTTAAATTTGTTTTCAAAACGCACATTATTATTCTCTTACTGTACATTGTTACTGTACATATCTTATCACCCCTGGCCTGTTATGCACCATTATAGTTCCTGTTTCTTTAAGGTCAGACTGGACTCATACAAAGCCCAGTTTGCTTTGACTGGTCTGTTGGAATGACAAAAATGAGGCACAGCTGGTTACATAATGGCGTAAGGTTAAACTATAGCTCCAACCACAGTATAGCCACTGAGATTTTTGATGGCTGTGATGACTTGGAAATCCCAAGTTATACTTTTATGTTTATATATGTCATCTATTTTTAATCTAAATGTGACTTTTTTCTTTATAAAAAGGAACATCCTGGTGTATTTAATATGAGAGGTTTTTTTAATGCAGCTACAGAAAATTAAGATGGTACACAAGCTTAGGACAGAAGGCTACGCCCTCACAGTAGCTGAAAAATATAGCTAACATTGCAGCACAGACATAAATTTGTCACACGGCATAATTAGTACAAGTTCAGGATTTTAACACTTAATAGCTGCAGATTGAAAAATAGCCTGGTTTACATTAGTCTTTATGAGCTTCTGTCACTATTTTACAGTTGTTCCCTTGTCTGATTAGAAAAACAGAAAAGCGTGTCAGGGAGAATGGGTTTATTAGGAATTCTGCTGTTTTAAAATACAGTTTATAGAAGTACACAGAGTGGAAGAGAATAAACAGACGGTAATATTAGTCCAATTTACCCTTAGCCACACTCGAATGTATCTCCAAATATATATCATGTTTGGATATTGTATATTTCCTACATATTAATTTCATTGGACGCTTTGCTCAGCCGGTAACAGAAAATTTGGTGTGCTATAGCTCAGACATTTCACAGTTAAAAGTGATGAAAACCAGCTCTATCAAGGAAATAATGGCAGGCTATCCAGGTGCAGATGGGTGCATCTGGATTTAGCTGGAGCAGCTCTTCATTCTTTGTTTAACTGCATTTTAAAGTAGACTCTTAGTGGGTATTATGCCACCAAAGTTACATAGATACCAGAAAGGTTTGGACTACAAACAAACTTTTTTGCAGCTTAACTGCAGTGTTTTCTGATGTTGAAAATAACCACATTTCATCTAAGACCACTATAGGCAAAAACAATTTCTATTCCATCTGCAGTAATTCATATTTGGCAGAAGGCTTCACCTTTCCATTCACATACTTGGAAAGGCAGAGGCGGGGGAGCAGCAACAAGACAGTCAGCCACAATCAAATATGGAAACATGACATGAAATATGGAGCTGGGTTCCAAGCAGCTTGCAGATCTATACTGAAGGTAGGATAAGGCAGCTTAAAGTATGCCTTATGTGAGATTTACTAGTTAGATTTGTACAAGGATCTTAGCTGAGCCACTGGGTGATGTGGGTTAGCACTGAGATCAGGTGATTTATCAGGATCTTGAACTTGACAGAACTGAACTGCCAGAAGTAATGTTGGGCATGGACTTTAGCCTTTGTAACTTTCCAAAGGTTTTACAAGCACTTTAAAATAGTATCCTAAAAATTTGCAATACAGGGAGTGCAGAATTATTAGGCAAATGAGTATTTTGTCCACGTCATCCTCTTCATGCATGTTGTCTTACTCCAAGCTGTATAGGCTCGAAAGCCTACTACCAATTAAGCATATTAGGTGATGTGCATCTCTGTAATGAGAAGGGGTGTGGTCTAATGACATCAACACCCTATATCAGGTGTGCATAATTATTAGGCAACGTCCTTTCCTTTGGCAAAATGGGTCAAAAGAAGGACTTGACGGGCTCAGAAAAGTCAAAAATAGTGAGATATCTTGCAGAGGGATGCAGCAGTCTCAAACTTGCAAAGCTTCTGAAGCGTGATCATCGAACAATCGAGCGTTTCATTCAAAATAGTCAACAAAGTCGCAAAAAGCGTGTGGAAAAACCAAGGCGCAAAATAACTGCCCATGAACTGAGAAAAGTCAAGTGTGCAGCTGCCAAGATGCCACTTGCCACCAGTTTGGCCATATTTCAGAGCTGCAACATCACTGGAGTGCCCAAAAGCACAAAGTGTGCAATACTCAGAGACATGGCCAAGGTAAGAAAGGCTGAAAGACGACCACCACTGAACAAGACACACAAGCTGAAACGTCAAGACTGGGCCAAGAAATATCTCAAGACTGGTTTTTCTAAGGTTTTATGGACTGATGAAATGAGAGTGAGTCTTGATGGGCCAGATGGATGGGCCCGTGGCTGGATTGGTAAAGGGCAGAGAGCTAAGTCCGACTCAGACGCCAGCAAGGTGGAGGTGGAGTACTGGTTGGCTGGTATCATCAAAGATGAGCTTGTGGGCCTTTTCGGGTTGAGGATGGAGTCAAGCTCAACTCCCAGTCCTACTGCCAGTTTCTGGAAGACACCTTCTTCAAGCAGTGGTACAGGAAGAAGTCTGCATCCTTCAAGAAAAACATGATTTTCATGCAGGACAATGCTCCATCACACGCGTCCAAGTACTCCACAGCGTGGCTGGCAAGAAAGGGTATAAAAGAAGAAAAACTAATGACATGGCCACCTTGTTCACCTGATCTGAACCCCATTGAGAACCTGTGGTCCATCATCAAATGTGAGATTTACAAGGAGGGAAAACAGTACACCTCTCTGAACAGTGTCTGGGAGGCTGTGGTTGCTGCTGCACGCAATGTTGATGGTGAACAGATCAAAACACTGACAGAATCCATGGATGGCAGGCTTTTGAGTGTCCTTGCAAAGAAAGGTGGCTATATTGGTCGCTGATTTGTTTTTGTTTTGTTTTTGAATGTCAGAAATGTATATTTGTGAATGTGGAGATGTTATATTGGTTTCACTGGTAAAAATAATATTGAAATGGGTATATGTTTGTTTTTTGTTAAGTTGCCTAATAATTATGCACAGTAATAGTCACCTGCACACACAGATATCCCCCTAAAATAGCTAAAACTAAAAACAAACTAAAACCTACTTCCACAAACATTCAGCTTTGATATTAATGAGTTTTTTGGGTTCATTGGGAACATGGTTGTTGTTCAATAATAAAATTATTCCTCAAAAATACAACTTGCCTAATAATTCTGCACTCCCTGTATACTTCCGTAAAGTTGGCAGAGTTTAATCCAAGATATCCTTTAGTGAGAACCAAATCAAAAACTGCAAAATCTTAAAATTTGAGTCAAGACCATTCCCTCTCAAACTTTACGTCCAGCCTGTTAGGCATCGTGTTACAGGTAACTTTGATGGCATCACTGTGAAAACATCACGGTTATTTCTGACTTTAGAGAGTTCCTTTCAGAACCCCAAAAGACATAATCTATTTTTTTTCCTTTTACTGGTAACGATTCACATGAGAGCAAGCTGAACTTTAAATGCCAGGGCATTTAGCCAGCTGTAAGCAAATACTCTTGTACCACAACATGCTTACATAACGTGGTTCTAGGGCTTTAAACCTCACAATATCGTCCACAGAGACACAGATCCTTAAATATCTGTGAACAATTCCCAGCTCCTAAGCTCAATGCAGCAAATATGATGTCAAATCCATCCATCCATGTGGAGCATATCCACAAGAGGTGGGGTACAGCCTGCACAGGTCAAACTCACCTTCACACTTACAGGCAATTTAGAATTACCAATTAACCTAATAAGCACATCTCTGAACTTTGGGAGAAAGCCACGGTATCCGGAGAGAGCCGAAGTCATGAGCAGCACATGCAAACTCCACCCAGAAAGGCCAAAAGCCAGCCCGTGAAATCGAACCTAGGATAATCATCCTGTGAGGCGGCAGTGTTAACCAGCATGCCACCCATAATATGGGGCTACTGTTTAATTTACTATCTACACCTATTCCAAACTTTTTTCTGACACCATGTGTGAGCTTACCTGTAAACTATCCTCTCACGGTGCAGGTCCTCAAGGCCACAGCAAATCTCAGCAGCGTAGAAGATGGCTCTTTGCTCATCAAAGCCTGAGTTCCCCATGTTGTAAATGTGAAACTTTAAGTCACCGCCATTCATTATGGTCAGCACCAGGCACAGCGCATCCTTGGTCTCATAGGCGTATGCTAGACTAACCTAGGAGAGGGAGGCAAATTTGGGGAAGAGGTAATAATGGGAGGAGGCAAGAAGAAAGGAGAAAATGTTGAAGAGGGCATGAGTGTGCTGGAGGAAGAGGGAAGAGAAGTGCTAAGAGACTACTGAGTGGCTAGAAGAGCATAATTGCTTTATTTGGTTTGCTTAATGTCCCAAATAATCATCCATTATCCAGAATGGAACGTCAAGAATGTACACAAAAGAAACAAGGAGATATATAACAGATACAGAAAATCATCCTCTCTCTAATCCCACCATCCGTCTCTTTTCTTCCCTCATTCCCACCAGCCTCCCTTCATTTCCCCTCCCTGTGGGTCAGTGACACACAGGGTACAGTGTGCGCATACGTTGTTGTGTACAAGCAGGAAGTTGCTGCCATCAGGAGGATTTCCATCTGCTAGAGCATGTAGTCAGAAACAAACCACAAAAGGAGATGGGAAATATTCTCATGGGCCAAGTGAACAAAACACACACACTCATATATACATATATATACAAAATGTACCTAAACAAACACACAAATATGTGCTCCAAACCAAAGTAAATAATCTTTCTAAATTCTTGTTTATGTGCTGGCAAAATACATCAATTTATTGTGGCACCGCAAAAGCCTTTTAGTTTGCTTAGTGATTCATTAAAATGTATGAATCACTATGAGCAGACATCCAAAAACTCTCCCAAATATCGAAGACGTTCAAGTGTGTAATCAAATGTTCAGTAATTGCTACTCTAGTATTATCGGTTCAGCTTTTGTTGTGTATGTCTTGCTGTATTTATGGTTTACACGCATGCAGCAAGACCCTTAACGTCCTGAGCTCTACTCCTTTGCCTAAAAGTTAAGCATTTTCGTAGAAGTGTGGTTTATTTCATTTATTCTTATTTATTTTACTGTGAAAAGGGAAAAATCCTGTTTCAAAGAATATGAATAAAAAGTGTCAGCAAAAATAATAGAAATATTCAGATAATTCTCATATTTATCTTTGTATTTTCATGCTGTTCTTCTATGGAAAAACATGAAATTACAAGTCGGACTTATCTGCAGGGGAAAAAAATATATTATATAATAATTTCATTATATTGGTACCGGTATCAAAAAAAAATTCATGATATGATATGATAGTGAGTCAAATCTGCATCGCAGTGAGGCAGCTCTACCTCATCCTCACCTGCTGGAAATTTTAAAGCAGGGTCACCCTGCTCCGTGTCTCACACCCACACACAAAGAATATGCGGATAGGTTATTGGTTAAAACATACAGCAAACTAACAGTATGCACTGACTAATACCATGCAGTGATCACAAAAAGGTAAAGCAGAATAGCGAGAGAGAGAGAAATGAGGGGTTTGAGAGAGCACTTGACTCTTCTGCTTGCTACTGCTGTTTGGTCAGTGTTGCTAGGCAACAGAGCTGCTCTCGTAGGTAGAGAGGCACATGAAGAGTCATCAGTTCTGCCTGCAGCACCGCGAACAAACACGCACACACACAAACACGCACACACACAGAATCATGTGCCAATCCCAGGTGACAAGAGCTGCAAGTCTGAGGTTCTGTAACAAGCCCACTCTAGCCTGTGTGTGCGCGCGTGTACGTGTGTGCACATGCATGCTCGTACACATGCTTCTGCCATGACTCACTCAAACAAGGACAGGCTACATAGCTCATGCTGCATCACAAACCAGCTAATCCAGCGTGTAGTACAACTCAAACGGCAGCCAGTACATTCAAACAGTGAACATGGACAGGCTTTGAGGCAGGGCTGCAGGAAAGCCAGGTTACTGTACTACAGATAAATATCACTGTTAAGTCAAAGTCACACAGTATTTTTTCCTTTATGCACAAAGTACACACTGCATACAGACCAGACATTTACATGAGTATTAGCCACTCCTTGCCATGTTCCAAGAATGTTAAATGAGGACTTGGTGTAATTTTGTTGTCTTTGGAACAATCAGTTTTGAAATAAGAAGCAACACTGAGCCAAAGCTAAGCTTTCTTTTCCGGCCTGAGCACCTGAGATGTGTTTGTGCATGCAGCTGGACGAAATGGAAAGAGAGGCACACATCCCCAGTTTTCCAGTGGGATCGGAGTCTTGATGAGAATATGTAGTATTTAAGCTGGATCAAAAAATTCAAGCATTTCATTTTTTATATTCATGACATGTTGAAAGGGGAATAAAGAAAATCAGAGCGCAATACAAGAGGAAGCAGTGCACTGCTAGACAGGTATGCACAGTCAGACAGAAAAGGGGGGCAAGAAAACTCAACTCAGTTATTCCACAAAACTATCGCTTAATAAAGTCCTACTTTAAATATGAGCCATGACTAATACGATATTTCTTTTAGTAGTAGACTTCTCCTTTTGGTTTAGCACTGAAATTAAAAGATTTAACAATAACCTCTACAGCAAGGGAATCTGGTGGCTCTGTTACATTGTGCTAGCATGCTTTCATAGGCAAGAGTGACTGTAGTGTTACTGCGGTTATACAATGAAGAAACATTTTTATCCTGATGTGAATGGTCTCTTTTTTTGTCCGTAAGACACGAGGGTTTACTAAATGGTTTAACGAATCTAAAAGTGATTCAAGTCATATGTTATGGCCTTAACATATTTTGGAACAAAGTGTTATATAGCACACTTCAAATCACGCAGTGAGGGAGTATCTCAAAAGAATTGTGTTCCATCCATCCAGCAGACTTCTACAGACTTGGAGAGTCAGTTCAAAGGCACACTGAAGCTGTTCTGTTAGCATGCGGCAACCCAATACCACACAACGACACTTTATGTTGTTTTTTCCTTTAATTTGTCACCTGTCGGTAGGTGACTCCCTAAAAAGGTTTCCGATGCGCTGCTAGCCAAAAACCACTGCTTACTCATGCCTATGGTTCAATTTATAGAAATCCTCCATAGGAAAATCAGCCAAGAGCAATGGCATCACTAAGAGCCGGAGGCACAGTGGCAGGCTAATGATTTTTCTTTTCCTTAGGCTGGCACACATGCTCAGAGAAAGGATACTGTACCATTTCATTCTGCAAGCAGCTGCTCTGCTAAAATGTGACTTGTGTCTGCAACTCAGATGCCGCGGGTTCTCTTTTTAAAAACAATTCAACATTTCTAACAGCCTTTGTTTTAGGTGGTGCGGTTGGACAACAAGGAAGAGCAATTTTGATGCCATTTCCTGATGAAGGTGGCACCAATACTATTGTGGCATTCTCTGGAGATCGTTTTAGCTTGTTCCTCAGATTGATGCTTCCTCAGAATTTTCAGTTCCTTAAATATCACATTTGGGTTACACACTTTAACATGCTGCTTTTACTTGATGACAGATTTGTTTTGGTGAAATGAATTCCAGTCACATATGGCAGGAATGTCTGAGAAACTTAAGAGTGTCTGCGACGTAATGCTGAGCTGTCACAGAATCCTGGGGGGAGCATTATTTTAACACCTCTGCCCCAAGAAGGCAAAAAAAAAATTTATTAATCTAAAAATACACAGGAACAAAACAGTAATTCAGTAATGCATTGACAGATGATTGAGGGCTGACAGTATGCTCCAAATGAAATCAAATCTGGCGTGTTTGCAGAATAGCAGGTTTCTTATGAAAATAGCCAAGCTGGCTTCGATTGCTGCAGCACAATCAGCGAGCGCAGCTGAACTTGTCAACGTGTTTCCACATCCTCCCTAAACGCCCCGCAGAATGCTCTCACCTGCCACTGTTCAATAAGATCATGCGTCTTTTCCCCCCTTTTGTAGTTTTATCTCATCATGTCTTTTTTCCACTGTGGCTCACAACCTCACTAAACAAACAGAGCTCGAGTTGTGGCGTCTATCTTTAAGAGCTGATCGACAGCCTTTGCAAACACGCCATTCCGTTTCATTTGCAGGATCCTGCAGCCGACAGTGCTCTCACATTCACGCATGCACGGTCTCGCACATAGACGGGCAAAACAAGTAAAATTCGGTTGAAAGGTTGAATAAGAAAAAAGTAGTACTTACTACAAAACTACTGTTAACTTTTTCTAAAATGCGTTTTTCGTTTAGTGCCATTGCTTCACCTTTTCTTTTCTTCACTCGTTTCTTTTCCAGCTTTTTACAGGCGTACATCTTACCGGTGGCACGTACTTGGCAGGCACAAACCTGGAAAACAAGCAGCGAAAAAAACGTGATCGCACTCACATGCGCATTAAAAATAAAACACACGCCCCTAAAATATAACTAATGGAAGTTAATATGTCACACTGCAGATTTTCCCACCCAGCATCACTGGAGTGGCGACAAACGCTGGTGCATTAATTGACAGTTAACAGTTACTTGTAACCAATTAACTCATTAAAGTTTAACTATAACTTTAGTCATTATAATTCCACCTTATAAAACATTATTTATTCCTCATTTCTTACCTCGCCAAATCCACCTTTTCCTAGTACTCTGTAATGTCTGAAGGTATTTTTGGTTACTGGTTGCCTGCAGAGGTGCAATGAAGAATAAGAAAGGGATAAAGACAGAGAGACAAAACACAGAGGAGACATTAAATAGGAGTTTATTTCATTTTCACAGACCATGTGATGTTGCAGACAGAGTAATGGTCTAATATATTATTAATCCACCCTGATGACTGCTGTTTCCACCCTGCTTTGGTTTCAAAGCCATTATGCAAAGCATCATCAATTATTAACCACTCACACAGAATCACCGATTGGCACTACCACCTGTTTTAGTGCAAAAACCGTTCCTGCTGCTATACTTTAATATTTACTTTTTCGTTATATATCTCTTTTACTGCTTTAGCGACAGTCAAAGACAGTAATTGTTCAGCCTCAGACGACCTGAACAGGGAACGTTTAGTATGTGCATGTCACGTTTTTGATGTAAATCTTAATGTACATGCTTTGCATGTTTGCTTTTCCAAGTGTGTAATACGCTGTGACTACCCACCTCTCCAACCATTTCCACTGCAGGAAGCGAGAGAAGTACATGGACTCCTGGTAGGAGGAAAATGGAGCTCCACTCAGATAATCACGAACTATTCTGGAGCAAAGGAGAGACAGAGAAGGGGGAGTGGTGACCATTTTAATAACATATCAAATATAACAATAACATCTTACATGTCAGAGAAAACCAGGAAAAAACCCAGATTTCATGTTACCCCTAAACACTTCCTTTTTTTAAACCTTGGCAGTGACTACAAACAGACACATCCTTTGACTGAATACCCACTGGATTACATACGGCCACATCTGTATATATCTGTGAACTTTTGTGTGCGCCATGGACATTGCAGAGTTCAAAAGTCACTCTCAGTGGAAAGATGGAAAACACTGAATGTCAATATGCCACCATGAAAAACGAAAAATGCCTTTGAGCAGGGAAGTTCCACTCAGTTCAACCAGGAAACGGGATTTATGGAAACCGTTTTTTATTGAGTCTGAGGTTCAGCGGAACATCTAATCTCATTTTACCTGCCACGTGAATGTGGGTGTAAGTCTGGAAACACACACACACAAAAAAGGACTGCATTTTTCTTAAATTCTTAGCAAAAGACGGAAGCCACTAACACCCAGCAAAAATATAACTCTCTGCGGGGTCACAAAGGGTGACAGTCTCACCGTCTCCTAGCCGTGCATAAACTGCCACTCCGCTGGGAGTTGTTAGGACACGACTCCTTGACATCCGTGCGTCATCCTCGTAGATCAGTGTCTGTTTTCAATGGTCTCACCACAGATGTTTGACTTAAACACCATCTCTTGACACTAAAGCGGTGAGCTAAACAGCACTGATGTGTTGCGGTTACTTTAAGGCTGAGCTATCTACTGTGCTTGCGTTGAGTGTTGGCAGATTACATATTTTAAAAAGTAGACTGACATAACCACCAGGACGTCACCCAGTGGCTTTGGATTCTGCATTTTGAAGCTTCAGCGTTGCTGCTCTTTAAAAAACAAAAAAACAAAAAACAAAACCCAGAAGTAACTGTTATGGATGAAAGGGTGGAGTGCTGAACAATCAGTTAACATTAGCTAGCTTAGTTAGCAAACTGCATTCTTAATCTGTACAGATGCAGCATACAGACACACATATTCAATGCAATTTTATTTATATAGCACCAAATCACAACAGTCGCCTCAAGGTGCTTTGCATTGTAAGGTAGACCCTACAATAATACATACAGAGAAAAAGCCAATAATCATATGACCTCCTATGAGCAAGTGACAGTGGGAAGGAAAAACTCCCTCTTAACAGGAAGAAACCTCCGGCAGAACCAGGCTCAGGGAGGGGCGGGGCCATCTGCTGCGACCGGTTAGAGTTGCATATCAACTATTTAGTGCTAAATAACAGACTAATGAAATAGTAACAGAAGCACAAACATGTTAGATGATCTGTACTACACAGCAAGTCATATTATTAGCTTTGTAATCTATAAAAAATGTTTCAAAGAGCCTTTTTCAAACCAGCCTCAACAAACCAGCCTGACACAATGAGGAAATGCAGTTTTTAACTACTTTTTTTTAGATCCAGGGGGTGCTCCTTGAATTAAATGAAAGGTCAGTTTCTATTGCTAAAGTCTCTACCAACAGAAAATGGCAAAACTGCAATTCCTGAAGTGGCCACTTAAGGCTGAGTCAGTCATCATTGAAAATGTCCAAGTTATCAAGATAAAAAGGTCACTGATAGCCTGGTACAAACATTTATAAATATTTTAAAAAGGGTTTCGTCCCTATGGGCAGCTTCCCCTTCAATAATAATCATAGGATGGGAACATTCTTTCTAACTCATCTTTAAATGCCGGTAGGGCTTAAACTTTATCGGCAGCTACAGTCGATAGCTGTCTGGCGTCACCTCAACTAGCTGAACTGGACCTCTTAACCATATTTGTGGTTTTGGAGTCTTTGGGTTCATTTTTAATGGATCGTGACTTGCTGTTTGATGCAGACTATTCAAGGACTTTATGCTTCAGTTCTGGTGAGAAATTGAAATATTTTAATAGTCTGTCACAAATTAGAAGGTATTTGTGTTTGTGCACGGATGGAGCTTTTTAACCATTCTTCATCTCATCCAAATACAGAATAATAATTTAAACAGAGAGGAGTCATATGCAGATACTAAATTAACTAAACTTTCCATGAAAGATGGACCTTAGCAATCCAAACCCCCAGGTCGCAATGCAAACATCAGCTTAAAAAACAATAATAATTTAATTATTAAACAATAAAACAGACTCCCAAAGACTCCTTACAGTGCCCCTCTAAGCCATTTAACTGTCAACTATAATAGTCAACATGATGCAAAATGATCAGTTTCTTCAAAGCAAGCAGTAATCATCTTCATTACATTTATCCTTGTGACACAAGCTGCACTATTCTCAAACTACAAAAACCCCACATGAAATAACAAATACTCTGGGACAGTCATGACAACCACTGCCCGGTGTGATCACAACCTCCTCTACCAGCCAACAACACATGACTAAAAACCAGAGTTACAGCACACATTCTCCTCAGCCACCCAAATGTCAAAGATATGCTCATATTTATCCAGCAGATTTTCCTTGACCATATTTTAAAATTACTTCATCACTAAGGAGGACAAGGATAGCTGCCTGTGGTTACCAACAGTGCTGGAGTAGCTGTTCTTGGCAAAAAGACTTGAGAGTAGAGAGTTTCCATCGGGGAAGCACCCTCGGCTGTGTGAAAGAAAACTGAGTTATGTCATTATGGAACTCAGTTGCTCTGTAAATTAAGTGAACATCCATTTGAATTGTTTGCAGGAGTAGAGTGTCAACAGGATTTTATCAATCTACCCTTTGTTGTTTCTCAGCCTACAAGGGGTTTGTGTACATAAAATCTTTCTCCTAAACACGTGCATTAGCATGTTTCTTGTTCCTTGTGTATCAAACTTCAGTTTCCACTCTGTCACTGAAGAAATCAAGAAACAAAAACTATTTCCTCCCAGATTCTGTTCGCTTATCGGTTTGACAGGCCTGAAAGGGGCTCCAGAAAGGAAAGAGCTGAGCAGAGCTGCAGACAGCCATCACTGGGAGTAGAAATAAACACAGCTACAATATGGCTTTTGTTAAACAAAGGGAGCGGGAGAAGACAAGAAGAGGGAAGAAAAATCAGCAGTGAGACCTTTGTCAACACAGCGGATATACAAAACATCACGATACACATGAGATGGGCCACACACACACTACTCTCAGTATGACATAACAATATGTTCCACTGCACCAAGAAAATAAAAAAATAAAAATCCACAAGTGAGCTAATATATTTCTGTTAGTGGGAGTGCAGCTCTGCCAAAAGTCACGTTCACACGTGCAGCACCATGCTTTCCTACAGGTTTTCCCTTTGAGAGAAAAAAAAACAAACAACGGAGCAAGCGCTGGTTCAGAATTACACATCGGAATAAAATATGAAGTTACACAACGGAATAATACAAATAATGATAGTGAAAGGAAGAAGTGATGACCAGAGTTGGACGGGAATCCCATTCAAAAACATCTGAGCTGCTGCTGCACGGCTTCAACACGTGCCTGTGTTGTTCTCTTCGCCGTTTTGCCCCGCTCTCCTTCACACTCTCTTTCCATTTCTCCTCACTTTTCCCCTAATTCTCCTTTTCGTCCTCCTTTCCTTACTCTGTGTAGGTTTTCTAACGATGCATCCTCATGCTCTGCATTTCTTCAGACTTATCACTTCATCACCTGCTGAGTTTTGAATCCAGTCAAGAAATGGAGCAGATGCTGTGCTTCTCACATCAACAAAAGCGCAGTATTCTGGTTATCCTCTTTCTCACACCGTTTCCCTGCTCTCCCTGATGCCCTTTGGACAACTTGGAGAAAGACATTTATGCAGGAAGAAGGAAACTTGCCTAACTGAACATGACTTGAGATGAGAGACTCTGTGGAGGTTTTTCTGGGTTTTGCTCATCTTAAACATAACCAATGAAGCTCCCAGTTTTAGTCCAGCACAAACCACATCACCTCACTTCTTCTACACATGCATTTGCCAACTTTTTCCTTCACACACCACCTCCTGCTGTGTGTCTGCATTGCTCACTCAGCCTCTAAACCCTCAAGCAAATCTCCCCAACACAGAGAAAATTAAGATATGTGAATAAGCTTTAGATAAACTAAACAAAACTTCATACTCAATTAAAATCATCGGGTCGAGGAAACTTTTTGGGAAAAATTAATCACTGCTTCAAAACATTCTGGCAACCGCACGCTTGTCCCTGTCAGCCACTTTGACTAGCTAACTTTGCATTCCTGTCTTCATGGGTCTGTGAAAGTGGCCGCGCTCTGTCAATCAGACATTTGCATAAAGGTTCCCTATACCTGAGGGAGGGAGATAATATCTGACTGTATGCAAGAGTGCATGCTGATGTCATAGCTGGGTGTTTTCTCAGCAATGATCCCCACTTCTCTTGAGCTCCTGTTTGGTGAAGCTTAAGTGAATCAAAGGTTAGTGACAGCATTTCCAATCCAAATCCATTTGCCCTTGTGGTTATGAGCTCAGACTTCACAGAAATTTTGATTTTGCCAGCAATGACAACACATGGCTCCATCAGCCCGCTGATTTAATGCATGCTGTACATGTTACATGTAAACCTGATACATTTGAGTTGTTTATTTTCTGTTGTTTAAGAGTAAGATTTATATTTTATGTGCTATGTGCATAAACTAAATTAATCCAGTTAAAAAAAAACGTGGTGGGGGCGCACCATCTTCCCAGAAAGGAAGCCCACAGATCGAGTTTTAATTTGCATATTGCCCAGAAGCTTCCTGAAGATGACCTCAAAGATCTTATCATCAGGAAGCTTGAATCTATTTAACACTACAGTTAATAATGTCTTCTTCTGTGATGTGATCAAGTGATTTATCAACCAGAGACTGATAACAGCTAGATGGGTGCACAACATTTAAATGCTAAAAAGAAAGGTTGGGTTTTTTGGCTTGTTTTTTGGTAACCAACCAACTGATTCCATGGCAATGCTGTTTCATGTACCAAAAGAAAAATGTATGAATTATAGTTCCAGGCATTGATTACAATTATTTCAGTAAACTAGTAAAAATAAAATAAAATACAGGAATAGACCCCAATGTGTGTTAAGCAGACCTGGGTCACCGAGGTGGTTTGGTCAGTTCACTGTTAAATGTCAAACAATCTGAAAACATCACCTTTGTAAAAGTAATCTGATGTATTGGTAAATATCAAACTCGGGATAAAATAAGAATTGCAAAGCTGCTTTAGTAGAATTACAGAATCGCAATGTGCACCAGGAAATTTGGCAGAATAAGCTCTCTTTAATAGTAGACTTGTCGTGGTCCTTGGTCTTTGACCTAGGGTTATCCTTGGTTTTGTTTTTTGGATCTTTAGTTGTGATTACCTTTGTGCTATGGGTTCTTGTTTACATTTTAGTATAGATGTGCATTTACTCCTTTGTGTGTTTCAGGTTAACCTAGCTTCTCTAGTGTTCCATTGTAGTTTGTTGTCAAGTTTTTGTCTCAGAGTTAGATATTTCACTGTTTACTCGTTTCCTGTTTTATTTTGACAGTCATGCATCTTTGGATCTTTTGGAGATTCTTTGTTAGCTTCTGCATTTTGGACTTTGCCATTTTCTGGACCAAGAAGCATGTTGTTTCAGGTCCATGAAGCTTTTTCCTCCACATAGTGTTTCTTAAGAGCCTGGTTAGAGTCTGGTTATCATTTTCCAAACATCTTGCCAAACTAAATTCACCCAGTTGGAATCTAACTAAAACAAATGCAATCAGCTAACCAATCGGCACACAGTGCAATCATCTTAGGGATTAGGAATAAGTCACTACAACGACTTTAAGTAATAACAACAGAGTATTAGAGCTGGGCGATAGAACGATAACGATATGTATCGCGATATAACTTTTACTCGATAGAGAAATTAAGCTATCGCGATAGACCTCGCCGCTCTTGTCCTCTTTAAAAAAAAAAAAAAAAAAAAAAAAAAAAAAAGGTCAGCCGATCCAAATTCAGTAGCGCAGAGCTGAACCAATCACAGCCGCAGCGTCACCTCGCGTGACTTGCTACGCACAGCACAAGTGCCAAGCCGCACGTGTGTTTGTTTGGGAAGCAGCCAGCGGGTAATGGAGCCAGCGCGTAATGGAGGAAATGAGTGTGCCGACTAGAAAAATCAACCGAGTGTGACCCGAAGAGAAAACAGATGATGGTTCCAATGCCGGAGAGATTGTCGAACGGAAGAGCCAAAGAAGTTCCGTAGTGTGAAGGTATTTCGGCTATTTCAAGTCTGACAAAAAACAGAGTAGCGTGCACTGTAAATTGTGCCGAAAGCAAGTCTGGAAATACAATAAACTGGTGCATGCGTCACACTGTGCGCCGCGTTATTGTTTCGGTGAAATGAATTTCTACAATACTGTTACTGTTAATTCTACTCTCTGCAGTGTTTAAATGCTTACATATACACACAGTTACTGTCCCTCCACACATACGACTCGGTTCTGCTTCTATGCCGCAGCTTTGTTTACTTTTTCCCACCGAGGCTTCTAGACTTCTGATTGGCCAACATTTCTGCACGGTTAGGAATCTAGCGCCACCTGCTGCTTTGGCATGTTCATAGCAGCGTTTTCCTTCATTTCTGCCTTTATGTGTGGACGGGATTATTTTTTAAAACGAAAACAGAAAGTCTCAGTTTTCAAAAATACCCGTGTACGTGTGGACGTAGCCTCAGTCTCTGACTGGAAGCGCTAATTCGTCATTCGGCTTTTGTCAGACTAAAGTAACTGTTAAAACTGTTTGAAAAGCTAAGCTATACAACAAGGAGAGATTGAGAATTTCCTTTTAGTTCTCAGTTTATTTGATATTGACAAAAGTTAGTCAGTTTTGTCTGTTCTTCTGTAAAACAAACTAAGATTTATTTTTAGAATTAATATTTTGTTTCTAAGTGGAATTGACAATTTAGTCTGTTTCATTTGTTCTGTTTTGAAACTTAAACGCTTTAGCGGCTGCCTTTTGTGTAGTTTGCAATATTTGCCTTTATTTATCTGAAAAAGTCTCATGTTCCTTAAGTACATCTACCCTGTTGAACTTATTATGGGAAATAAATATTTAAAAACAAGCTGCTGATTATTTCACATTTTACTTGTGAGCAACGGCACATTTAAATCTTACAAATATAGTTATTTGGCTTATATCGTGATAGATATCGTTATCGCCTGAAATGAAAAAAACATATCGTGATATGAAAAAATCTCATATCGCCCAGCTCAACAGAGTATAGCATATGCTGTTAAAAATATGTAATATGCCTTTTATGTGTGAAATGATTACCATTGCACTTACCACTGTAATATAATTAAGAAACCAAAACACAAACTGAGATGATACTACAAATATGAGCGCATACCCGAGTATCGCTGAGGTGTACGTGTGTCACTGTATGTTCAATAAGAAGTACATGTGTGGGTAATAATCCCCAGTCTGTTTGCTTCTCCTGGCTCTCAGAGCAGGAAGGAGAAACACCTGCAAGTGTGTTTGTGTGTGTTTGTAAACCTGTTTGTGTGTGTGTGTATGTGGCGAACACTGAGGTGGCTGTTGTTTTCATGCCAGCCATCCGGATGCTCTCTCTGCCCACTGCTCCTTTTCATTTGGCTCAACTATGCGTACGTATTTGCGAGTGTGTGTGCGTCTGTGTGTAGTACGGCATTCCAGGTGCCCGCTGCCTCATCATCAGCAGTGACAAAGAGCAATGGTCCACACACACACACTTTCTTTCTCTCTCTAAAGATTCTGCTAGTGCCTACACTTAGATGCCAGACGCAACCATGGCAAAAAAATTATCATAATAATTTTATTTTTTATAAAAAAGAAATAAATCAATGTATAAAATTCCATTTGAATTTTCCCTCCACAGCCTGTCTGCATGCGGGCTGCGCAAATAAAAGAACAAATAAAAGCAGCAAGTTAGATTTAAAAACATACTTGGTGCAGTCATTGAAGAGCTCCTTACACGGACTCTGCTCCAACCTCTCCCGGCACCCAGCGACAACATCCTGGGGTATGTCAGGCAGATGGGCTGCCGACTTGAGGGTTTAAAGAGACAGAAAAACAGCAGGTGAGGCAAACAGATGCAGAGAGACAGAAGAGAACATGCTCAGTGTAACATGGTCACAGATTGTTGAAGATGTGAAAATAGATTTTATACCAGAATTGTGCTTGAATCTTTCTGTTAGTGAAAAAACAAAACAAATTGAAGTTCCCCTGTCTGTTTGCTCCGACTCATTTCAGTCAGTGAGAACATTAGCATTTATGTGAATCAGCTTAAAAATAACTGCCTTGTGCAGCTGTAGTGAAAACACAAAAGAAGACCTAATGGGACAGTGAAGTACACATTCACACATGTAAGAGCCAGAATTAAATGCATGACTTGACCATTTTATCTCCAGCTTACTTTATTTACCGATAGCTGAGCATATTTCCAGTTAACAAACAATTAAATAAACCCTAAGCAGTTTTATTACACTGAATAAAATTCAATGAGACGATCATCTGGAAGTGCATGTATTAACTTAAACTAATATATAAATCATTTATGGCCGTATCATGCAGCCCTGTAATTAAATGAGCAGGTTGGTGCATCTTACCCCATTATTAAAGTATGTGTCTAAAACATTCAGTCCACAGTCCCTCCTTTTCTCATCGGGAGCTAGCTGATACATAGCCTGTCACAGAAAAACAGAAGTTGTAGGAACCACAGCAAGCCATGCTCATTCAGCCATCTTTAAAACTTCTCCAAATAAGGTCAAAGTCACAGAGAAGAAAGCAAAGAAGGCTGAAGCAAAGAGGGAAAGATGCTGTGTTAATGAACAGAGGAAATCAGGGACAGCTGACTAATGGTGGAGAGTTAGCAAAGACAAACATCTCGTTTTAGTCATGGCAGCAAACTGGGAACTATTTTCTTCTTTTCACCATCACAGATTGTGTCTTTGGTCAAATATGGCTGTAGGCAGGGACACAGTCTGGAGTTTGACTGCTTTGCACCGTGTGTTTTGTTTGAAAACACGCTCCGCAGAGACGAATGGGACTGAGCAGCACTACTACGCATCAGCCAAGACACAAAGTCCTCGGGGAGACTCGTGGCACATGTTGACGACTAAAAAGTTGCTCATTAAATTTCAAGCATTTGTCAGTTGGTGTGTATATATGTGTCTGCCTACCTTAAAAAAAAACCCTAAAACTAAAAGAAACAAAAACAACACAAATCTAGGACCCCATTAAATTCCTCGCCTGTTTTCCTTCTTGCATACCATCAGGGGCCTAGACACAAGCTTGGGCCTGTGTTTGCCTGCTCACCCAGGGGACCTGCCTCTGACGTTGGCTTGACCTCATGGAGGAGTGCATGGAGGAAGGGGAGGAGTCTGCTCCCTGACAGCTTCTCTAAGTCGCTAATCACCCACTACGCCCACCCCACCCACCTCCCTATGTGACTGCCAAGAACAGGCAAGGGGACTTTGCACTGACTTTCCTTTCCTGTCCTGTCCATTGCTCTGCGGGCCCTGATCCAGGAAGGTCTCGTGGGAGAAATCATAGACATATGAAGGTAAAAAAGACGGAGAAAGTGAAAGACTGGCAAGAAGGTGACAAAGGGGGTTCTGTAAGACACAAGAATACTTATAAGGATATCAGAGAATATGCAGAGTAGTTGCAATGGACTCAAAGTCTTACCACAGCATCCATAAATTCCATGCAGCGCTTCAGCTCTGGCCTTGTGTCACAGTACTGACGGAATAACAGCCGACCAATGGGCTGCTTCTCACATAGACTAGTGTAGTCCCTCTCTGAGAAGAAGACAGGGGAAGGAAAAAAGATGAGGGGGAGGGAGATAGAAGGAGAAATGTAATACAACACACACTGGACATTACGCTACACCAGCGAGTCCATGAGATGATTACGCTAGGAGGAAATGATAACCCTGCGGCATGAAACTGTAAGTAACTGTATATTTTTGCCCAGCGAAACAAAAAATTGTTGGAAACCATTGAGCTATATCACTATATTAGTGGGCTTAAGGGATAAATTGTTTTCATTTGAATTAACTTTGCGTTGTGAGCCAAAGTGAGAAACGAACTGGTGGATGCCTTTTATAGTTCTCACAGTTAAACTCGAAATAGTCGCAAAAGGGCAATTAAAGGGCAGGAACTGTCACGTTTCCTGGTGACAGCAAAACAGTAAGCAATTTTTTTCTGCTTCTGTTTTGAAACACATCTCCATCCACATGAAATACAAAAAAAAATGCATTTAAAGAAACATATACATTTCAAAATACAGGACAGGCTTAATGTCTGAAAATTTGTTTTGAGGAGCACAAAGAAACACTAAAAATTACAGTATGTGTAGAAACACGAATTGTCAATTTTGATCACCCCATTCGCTTGTGAAGCGCCCTTTTAAACATTTTAAACCTCAGCATGAGCATTTTCACAGCTGCCATCTTAGTGTTTTGACGTGGAATGTGACAAGAAGGGGCAGGTCTGTGTGTAAAACCGCACACTTACTACAACAACCTGGCTGTCAGTCACAAAATCATAAGCCAACGAGCATGCCGCAGATAATCCACCATTTTGAAACATAATATGTATGTCAAACATAGTTTGAGCTAAAATGAGTGGCTGAGTCCACAAGCTCAGAAAAACAAATGTCTCCAGAGTTCAAGACAGAAAACCATTTTCTATAGGAGTGTTTTTGCAAACACACTTACTGTCATCTGGTGGTCTACAAATAAGAAGCTTCGTTTTTCACACCTGAAAGCGACGTCCATGTTTTACAATGACAACGTACCAGTCCTCTCGTCCTTTGTTAGCTAACAACAAGCTAGCACTAACTAGCTGCTTTACAAAAAATACAATAAACAAATTTAAAAAATTAAACTTTTTCCCCAGCGTATATTTTGTTTTTTATTATACAGAGTGAAAGATTTGTATTTGTATTGCTTGGCATGTTTAACCAAAGAAAAGCAATACTTGCTATAATCAATAGATTAGGATAATGGACACTGAAGTTGCGTAAAAGAAAAGCTTAAAAACTGGGAATCTGAGAAGCGATTATCTACAGTACTCTGCAGAGGTTTTCAGCCACCCGTCATTTTTTATATTTTTCTAGAAAAATGTAAAATGTGTGCAGTGATTTTTTGAAACATGCAAACCTAGATGGAAATATCGTATACAAAGCAAAAACAGGGGTTTTTTTTCCATCTGAAAATACAGATGGAGGCACTTTGAGCAGACTGAAATGTAGAATGCAGAATGGAAGTAAAATATAAACAAATAGGGAGTGGGTCAGGACTTTTCCTCATTATTTTATATCTAATACGTCTTAGCTAAAACAAGGTTTTTCCTACAAATAAACACACTTTTTCCCCCAGACAGATCTAGCTATTAATTTTCCACAAAGTAATGGGGATCTACACAAAAATAAAAAAAAATAAAATAAAATGTAAGGGTCAAGTTAAAAGAAATTCAGCCTCCACACCACGGAAAAAAATGAATTCTACCTTAAAAAAAAGAAAGAAAAAGCGACGTATTATTTTCTGGAAAAAAAGAAAAGAAAAACACCACATGATGTCACATATCTGTTTTTTCTGTACATATCTTAGCATTTTTGGCCCTATTAGCACTAATGGTGTCCATTTGAGTCATATTTCCTCTTGTACCAGCTTTCCATCATTGGTTGACGCTAAGGATGCGCAGGCACACAGGCAAGATAAACATACAAACAAAAACAGGCCACACACATTCATATACACAGAGGAAGAGAGATGCTAGGTATGAAAATTTGGGAGTGCTGACAGCTACAGGCAAACCTCCAACAGTAAATGAAATCTTCACAACAGCCCTCTCTTCTGCACTGTTTATTACACAGGATTTACTTCTGCAGCTCAGCGTTTCCTATTCAAACTTGCCACTTACATGAATACAGCACCTAACTTATCAGGTTGGTCAGCAAACAGAATAGAGATAGGATTTTTTTTTTTATTACTTCCCTTTACACAATGAGGCTGCTGTATTTAAAATCTGACCAACAGAAGCCCTTTCACAAAACTTTATACTGTACTTTGTTACACTTGCTTTCAGACATTATCTTTCATCTTTGATCACCAAGATTTCAGAGGCCTGCTTTGGTGTTTCCCCATCAGCTCTGTGCGGGAGCGGGGAAAGCCCTTTACACTCATAGCTGATGAAGGCAATTTCAGAGCGTTTGAACAGTATTTGGAGCAGTTTATTTGAACTCTGGAGTGGAGTGGTCTGGCTGGAGGAGAACAATGGTGTAGCTGTGTATGACATCTGTATCCCCAAATGTGGCTCGCGCGCTACTCTTGACAATCATTGAAGAGGTTACTGACAGCGTACAATTACGAGAGCACAAGTGGCTTTTATTTAACAGGGGACAATAGGCGATGCGAACCATAGGAAGTTGGTAAAAAGAGACAGGGCAAGATACTCGTCCCATATTCATTAGCAGGCATAGAGAAATCAAAATATAAAATGCAAATTAATTAATCATCCAGTTGGTTTAAATAAACCATTAGATCATCGGCACTGTAAAAAGCTGTACTGTGAAGTGGTGTTGGTAGAGGTGGTGACAGAGGAGAACCAGCTCAGGCTGTCTTCTCTATGTCAAGATATTTCATGTGAAGTAGAAAGCTTGAAGAGGCCATGGTGGTGCAGTGGTTAGCATAGTCACCTCACATTAAGAAGATTCCTGGTCCAAACCTCCTTTCTGTGAGGATTCTGCATATTTTCCACATGGTCTCCAGGGACCCCAGCTTCCTCCCCCAGAGTCCAAAAGGCATGCATGGCGGGCAAACCGGTGATTCTAAATTGCCCATAGGTTTTAGTGTGAGCATGAATGGTTGTCTCTGTCTCTGCATTGGCTCTGTAATGGACTGGCATCTTGTGCACAGTGTACCCTGCCTGTGTTCCTGTGATAGCTGACAATTTAGGAAAATAGGTAGAGAATACCCAAACTAATAAATGGCCAAAGCACAACATCAACATTGGCTTAGTCTGATAGTAATTTTCAAGCAACAAACCACCAGTGCTAGAAAATTTACCAGTGAAGTGCTGAAGAACTGCTGGACTAAGTGTGAGAATGGATTTTTACTTACTGTTGCACTCTGCTCAACCAAGACATTCTCTAACTGCTCTAACTTTGTCCTCTTTAATAAAAACAAAAGCCAAAGAAGACAACTGATCTTTATATATCTCTTGTTCTTAGACAACTGAATGCATTAACACCCCTCACAGTGGCCGTGAAGACAGTCTCCCAGAATATAAAGTACTGCATATAAAGTGTGTGAAACCGACCCAGAGGCAGAACTCAACACATTTTATATTTTCATTGTTTTAGTGGTTTTTGTTTTTTACTTTCAAAAGCATAAGACTGTAACATTTCTGCTATAGCACACAGGGTGCTGCACCGCACCTCGCATAACTCAAAGGCCTCAACAATCAGAAACAGCTCAGGCTGTGCTTTACAATATCGTCCGTGATAAAACCAGAATACATTTTTCTGTATAATAAAAATGTCGTAGTGTGATATAACAGTCTATAACAATACCATGAATTGAAATGCCCTATGTGCGCAACTACGAGACAAGCCCAGGCATGTCTGAAAGCAAGAGCACATGTCAGTGTCCGATTGAGACTAATTATCTAAAAAGACTTCAAAAACATGCAACAAAACAGTACTATGCAAAATACGTGAGAAAAATGTTCCTGCTAAATGTACAGTAATGTCGAAAACAAGGGCTTTAAGCAGTTATTTTACACTTTTACCTGAACATCCTAGGCTATTAGTCCCATGCATGGGACTAATAAAGGTTATCTTATCTTATTTCGCCTCCATTTCCTACACTTCTAAATGCTGCTGCCTGCAAGCTGTAAGCATCAAGAACATTTTTTCAATCTTTTTTCTGTATCATCAGAAATTTCATTATTATTATTATTATTCATTTGTAATTATTACTATTCGTTATCCATTACAACAAATTATCGGATAGTTTTGAGGCTAACCTACCCGTCCTGACAAACAGGTATAGATCAACTTTCTAATGCTTTCTTTTTTCACCATTTAATTTCTCACTGAGCATTAGACTAGTGAGTTCAGCCAGCTGACAAAAAACATGAAACTTTGGGTTGGCGTCCCGTCGGCCGTTCTGAAAATTAAACAAACATTTCTTTTGTTCAGAGAAAATGACCTCTGACAAGGTTTCAGTCTAGCATGAGAAGTTTTTCAAGTATTTCGGGACATTTTCATCCTAATGACGAGTTTTGCTTGTTGCTCCAGTGGTGGCAGTTCTCTGCTGAATCACAACACAACTGGCTGACTCTTTAGGGTGACAACATCTAATTTGCGTAAGAAAGAAGCCACAGAAACTATTGTGAAATTGTCTGGAAAGCATTTTTTTTCCCCCACTAATTGCAAAAATATACCCGTTTTTCAGTAGGACTGTCAAAATTAAGAAAAGTATCTGTGTCACATTTCATTTTTACTCAGTAAGTTTCTCAGAATTATTTAAATAAATAGTACATTTACACCAGTTGTTAGTGTTTGATTTTTGCTGTACCCATTCACAGGTTTGCAACACACAACAAATCTTTTTATGAATAAACACTGGAGAAATTTTTCTTTATTTTTTAACAATGGTAACAAAGCGTTTCTATGACACTGCAGATCCACTTCATTGATGTTGTGCCTTCTCTCTCCAGTAGATTTTTCGTCCTATTTGTTGTACATGGTTTTCCATCCCAACCAGTCGAGGCAGATAGTTGCCCCTTCCTGATACTGGTTCTGTCCAAGGTTTCTTTCACAGTTGTGCTTCCTCAAAGGTGACTGCCTGAATGTTGGGGTAATCTCTCTAATGTTGTAGGATCTTTACCTTACAATTTAAAGGATTCATCTAGAGATGATTGTTATTGTGAGCTGATGCGATATAAAATTTAATTGGACTAATGCTTTTGACTTTTTGACTGTCATTTGTGTAGAAGGGAGTAGTTTAAGCAATTTGAAGCACATACATTTGTTTCTTTTATTGCATACTCCTTATCTACATTTATATTTCTATGAGGATGTTTACTCATACTTTTTGTGCTCCCCAACTGCAAAACCCCCCTAATTTCTCAATAATGTCTTCCTTGCTTATGAGGAACTTATCCAATTTCCTAAATATGAACAAATATGAAAGGAGATTGGGAAAGAGGGAACGCACACAAGGCAACAAGGTGTCAGAGAAAAATGGAACTGGTAAATAAGGGGATTAAAAAGAGAGGAGGGAGCACTGTAAGGCTCGAACTAGCACGGGATACTAACTGTCTGAGCCAGTGAATGCAGCTGTAATTACAACTCAATCAAAACTCCAATTTAGACCAAGACAGAGTAGATTAGTGAGACAGTGAACAGTCAGCTAAATGCTCACAAGCGTGCAATGGGTGCAGGAGTGCATGCCCGTGTTTGTGTGCAAACAGACACCTGCACGGCCAGTGCGCACTGCTGCTATGCAACAAGCATTTAGTCTCCATCCAAAATACCTATGCTTTCAGGACCATGTTAACATGCTAACGTGTTTGCAGTGATCAAAAGTAAGAGGTGCCCATATAATATATGTATTAACTATGCCAAAAAAATAGAATGGTAAGAAAGAGATGGACAAAAAAAGAAAGAAAGATGGAGAGAGAGGTCTAAGGCTGGCAGACAAAGTGCCTGCAGCCCACATAATGTAATCTAAGCTTCCTAGAATTACCGTTCACTTGTCAAGGCTAAGGTCAAATGCCTGACATTATCAAGACACAACAAAGACTCTGCTATCAGTCGCTACACTGTATTCTGTCCACTGTGCTCGCACTCTGAACGGGCAAGTGTGAGTGTTTCTGCACGTGTGTATGTGTGCACGCACATAACTACACGCCTGTGTGTTTAAGCACACCAGGAGGATTATTTTGATCTTGTACTCAGTGTGATAGGGAAATTACGCAATAGCATCTATGTAATAGTGACGTACATAAACCTTAACAGCTGCTGTATGCGCGCATGCACACACACAAGGACAAACACACACATGGGCAGGCACTTATTGCCCATTTTTAGAATCCTGTGCACATTAATATCCAAATGGGAATAAATACATGCAAGGTTATATTTATGTGCTCGGTACCATCCTCCTCACACATTAATAATAATAATAATGATAATAATAATAATAATAATAATAGATGGATTGATTTCAGGTTACACAAAGAGATTTTACATTAAATAACCAGAATTGCTGCTTTGCTGTTCTAGGCCTGTGCCTACCAGTTAAGCCAGCGGCCCCCAACCCCCAGGCCATGGACTGGTACTGGTCCGTGAGTCGTTTGGTACCGGGCCGCGAGAGTTGAGGCTCGGGTGTGAAATTTATGGTTTTCAGGGTTTTTATCGGTTTTATTTTGTTGTATTTATCCACGACACCTTAAAGGCCAGTCCGTGAAAATATTGTCGGACATAAACTGGTCAGTGACACAAAAAAGGTTGGGGACCGCTGAGTTAAACTACAGCTTACGAACACGTCTGTCCAGACAAAGGCAGTGGAGGCTGTGAAAAAAGCAAAAATGATCATAGAAACTAACACATTCAAACAAATAACGGATAAACATCGTGAGTTTTGAGTAGTGATCTGAACATCAGTGCTGGCTTGGAGATAATGATCCAGGAGGAGAGAGCTTTAAAGAATTCTTTCGCTTGGTCCTGATTGGGGTTGACAAGAATTTGGCATTAAATGAGTAGAGGCTGATGGAAGGTGTGTGGTGATGAACAGAAGGACTCTGAAATGGATTCTGGTGTGGGACAGGAGCCCAGTTAAAGTTTTGAAGGGACAGGAGTAATAGTGGTTGCAGGACTACGGCATTTAGCAGAGTTGTACAGGAGTTTGATTACTTGTACTGTAAAGAATGCAGTTGCAGTAGCAACATCTGGATGTGCTGGAGGCATGGATAAAAGTTTTGGAAGTAAAGAAAAAAAAAATTCCTGGGGAAAAAAATGTTCTTTGCTGCGACACGCTGAGGTTAAAGGAGAGAAGTGCCAAAAATTACTCAGACGCAGAGTGGAGTTGCTGATGGTGAGGCACATTTGGGGGTTTGGGACCAATCATGTCCTGACTTATCATTTTAGTTTGAGCCAGTAAACTTTCATCTGCGATTTAATGGTGCTGGTGTCCAACCACATCATGTTGAAGTATGACGCTATCAAAGGGAGAGGATCCAGAGGATGAATAGAAGAGGGACAAGCATTAAACACAGGGGATATCCTGTGATAGAGGTGTGCCTGGGCTTAAGTTCATGAACTGTTGCTTTGTTGTTTGAAATACATGACTGAGAGGCTGTGGCAGGGTTATTAATGTCGGGACAAAAGAACAGTGTGGTTGTTGGTATCAAAACTCCTACTGAGTTCGAGGAAGATGAGGATGCAGTGTTAATCAGAAGCCGAATGAGGAAGGGAGAATGGTGAGAAGAGATAAGTACACACTGGGGAATTCCCCAAGGAACTACATGCCTAACAAGCATGTAAAGAAATGTGTGTGTGTGTGTGTGTGTGTGTGTGTGTGTGTGTGTGTGTGTGTGTGTGTGTGTGTGTGTGTGTGTGTTGGGGGGTAAGGATGTCCATATCCATTGTGATTGTTAGCTGGTGTATTGCAACTCCTAGACACAACCATGACTGTGAATATGAAAGTTCACCTGACTGTGGACAGGTTGCCACAGACAGGCCTTCAGTTTCTCCTGTATGAAACTGAAGGCCTGTAGTGGCAACCTGCCACTGCATGTGGCGAATAAAATTTGAACTTGAACTTGGTTCCAGAAACTGTACAGCCACTTACAGTTATTATTATTATTAAGGCGGACATGGAAATCACCTGGGATAGGAACAAAAAGGTGAGAATGCACACAACTGGACCAGAGATGGAGATCGATTTTTTTCAAGATTTGGATAATTAGTTCTATGAATGAAGACTTGCGATCTGAAATCAACACGACGACGAGTGCAATCAACACCGAGTATGAGACATGTCCTCCGCGAATATGTGCATCTACATCTTTGACTCTGCCTTCTTCCTATCCTCTCCTGTCCTCGAAAGATCTTTTCTCTCGTTGTAAAAAGCCTCTCTTTCCCTCTGTGTTTCTGTTTTCCACTCGTGCTCTCTGTAACTCTCCTGTTCTGCCACTCTTATGTTTCTCTGAAGTGGCTGAAAGAGTGAGAGAGAGGGAAAGAGCTGCAGATAGTGGGAGGGAAAGGCATGGAGATAGAAAAGAGGGAGGGTATGCGAGTATGTGGGGGAGGGTAGCACTGCAATCTCTGGCAAAGATAGCTGTGACGCACTATTACACAGACACACACACACACACACACACACACACACACACACTTGTGCTGTGGCATTCAGGGAACCATGGTGGGTGGGGGCTGGGGAGGTGAGAAGATAATGAAGCCCAAGAGTAGAACTCTTGTCGGGGGCCACAAAGAGAAAATCCTGCCAGTACTTTCAAGTTAGACCTGGAGGTTGAGAAAAGGAAGGAAGCTGGGGTGAGCATGCTTTCATTTGATGTGTGAACAAGCACAGCAGAAATGTTAAAGGAGAGCTTGAGATTCAGAAACAGCAGTACAAACAGATTCCCTGTCTCAGTCACACGCACACAAACACACACACAGGGTTTCCTGTCCCTTGCTTGTAACTACGGGTGGAGACGGGTAGAAACAGGAAGGAAGTCCAATCTGAACTTCCTCACAGAGTCAGGCCCACCCCAACGACACAGCATGGCAAGTTATCTTTTTGTCTCACACCCACATGCACTACCAGTTTCTTACCGATGGTGCGACGTAGCTCCTCACACTGGCTGATGTGCGGGAGTTTTAGCATCTCTTTCCATTTCTTGCTGCGGCCATTCCTCTTTCCTCCTCCACCTGAGACACAAAATGAGAATTTCCAATAAGGATTATTTTTTAATTACGGAAAACAATTCTAGTACAGTCAAAAAACATAAAGGTGGAAATATGGAAATGAGCACAATAGGTTCACTTCAAGTGTTAGGAAAAGTCTCAGTTATAACCATATGTCTAAATTAAAACCTCTCACAAGAGAAAAGATTTTAAGACATTTCATAACTATCAAAATGAAATGAAATACTTCAGACTTTTTAAGACTCATGGGAACCGTGTGTGCGCGTCTATGCATGTGCGTGTGTGTGGGTGTGCACAAGCTTGTTCATGTTGACCTTGCTTTGACCAGAGGCCAGAGCAGGTGGTTCATCTCACCAGTCGCCTCCATGCATCATGGCAGGGCATGTGGTGAAGAATGTTGACAGCTTCAAAGATCATGGGGCACACACATATTGTGTGTCTCTCTCTCTCGTAAATGCGTGTGCGTGCACACACACATACACTCGCACGCACACACAGTAATGTTGGGCAGTCGTCTTGGCAGATCAGATGACCCTGATATGAGTGGTAAACGATCTCAAGGCCCAACAGCGCTCTACAGAGGACCCCAGTCACTCTGTATATTTCACAAGGAATCTCATTCCAATAGCAGCAGGGGTGTGTGTGTGTGTGTGTGTGTGTGTGTGTGTGTGTGTGTGTGTGTGTGTGTGTGTGTGTGTCCAGAGAAATGGGGAAGAAAAGAAGTCAGGAATGGGAAACAATCCAACTGAGGAGGTTTGCCTGCAGACTGTCTCATCTGGAAATCCCTTGCATTTCCCCTCGATGACCTTCTCATCTCAAACTCTTGCCTCAAGCTCAGCTACACCGGCTATGCTGCAGACATTACATAGTCCACACCCAGCCAGATCCTTTACACAAAATCTACGCAATGTCCAACTGAGCCAATGTAAGAATATAGCAGAAAGCTATCCATGTAATTCATAGTGGGCAACCAGTACTCTTGTATCCTGCCTGTAGCACACTCATGCTATGTAAGTTGTAAGTACAAATCCAAAGTGGATGGTTTCCTGATATTTGCTAGATGTGAGCATGTGTGGATACTGTTCCAACCTTATTCCGTGGACATTATCCACAGGTCATCATTCCATCATTACTGGATCACTCACACACACACACACACACACACACACACACACACACACACACACACACACACACACACACACACACTTAAAGAGAAAATCTGATATTTTATAACATCTGTCTGCAAACTCGGCCATTATTAAAATAGGTGATCAACATTTTAAAAAGTAGCTCGACACACATTTGCTGATTACAACATCATTTGATTAGGACTGGTATTTTATGGTTTACACAATGCCAGTAAAGTTCCTCTGTGCTATCTCACAGCTTTCCTGCCTTCTCTTCACTATCCTTTCTTAATAAAAGCTACAAAGCGTACATAAAAATATATAAAAACAATGATCCTTGGAGGACCATCCTGACAAAGCACATGGTTCAACACAAATTCACAATTACCCATTTTCCACTATTATGATGGCCTACTTGTGCATCCCAAATCATTGCTAACAAAGGCTGGGGGAATTATACAAGGAAGACAAAAAAATAAATAAATAAATAAAAATATCACAGTTGTATCTGTGAATAATCTATGAATATTCCCTCCCACAGCCGCTTGCGTCAGAGGTTCCAGCTATTTTGTGGTGCCAGCTTTTAGGGACTAGGAGCAGTCCTTTTTTTCTAGTAGGAATACAAAGACCTGGTTCTAGATTAATCTCGTTCATTAGGGCTGTTCGATATAACGATATATATCGGATGACGATATAAAAACGTCTATCGTTTAATTTTATCGTTTGTTTCGTGGTGTTGCAAAATAAACTGTTTACGGCAATATTTTTTCATCGTTTTGATGGTCACTGTAGTGGCTATATTAATTTCTTAAAGTTCTCTCTTTCTCTTGTATTTAATATAACCACACTACAGACGAGCAAGCATATGCGTTGTCGTTAGCAACAACGACGATAAAACCATCGCGGCACGTGTCCGCTTATTTATTTTCCACATAAACATTTCACAATAAAGCTCAAGATCCTGTTGAGACTTTTCAAAATAAACTGAATCACGTGAAAGAGCAGATTATTTACGGATGAGAAGCAAAAAAGAGCCGCCAGGTGCTAAAAAATAAACCTTAGACTCAAACGTTAGAACAGGCTTTTCCCCGCAGCACGCTGTGTAATAAATACTCACAAAGAAAACGGCAGCCGTTACAACTCATGTCTAAAAATGTATAGTTTCATGCATCGGTTAAAACACTCGACTCCAGGTACGCAACGTGCAGCTGGAAACACTTCACGCAAGTCGAGCTGCCCGAGATTCACAGAATTTACAAAAAATGTTGAATTTTTGTGATTTATATCGTTATCGGACGATAGATGTCTTATATCGGGATATGAGATTTTGGTCATATCGCACAGCCCTATCCATCATCAGTGGAAAGGGGACAATAAAAAGATAAAAATAGCTAAATGTCTTTAGCCAATTCTCATCTCTAATCATTTCATATCTGCCTCTGGACTGTCTATTATACAAAAAGGATGCAAATACAAGGCAGTCTACCTTCCTGAAAACCTCCTCCCTTCAGACAGGCTTGCGTGTTTGCTTATGCCGCAGACAAATGGATGATCAACACTCTTATGACTATGTCTGAAGATCTCTGAATATCAAGAGCCTATGTGTTTAAAAGTAAAATATGCAGACATGTGAAAATCTGTCAACAATCCTGGAATAGATAAAGTTTTTTTGTTTGGTATGTTTTCCCATGATTTGGTTAAGCGGAAGAAAATGGATGAATGGATGGATAGTTGTGGACTTTTTGTGGATAAATGTTTGAAGCTTGTGGTAAATTTATGCAAGTGGTTACCTGATTTTAAAACATGCAATACTGACATTTTATGCGCTCACAGTACTGTGACAGTCAACAAGGAGAATAGGGGCCAGTATTAATGTTTGATAAGTCTGTGCATTTCTAATTCTGAAAATCTTTTCTTTTAAAAATTTAAAAGTAGATGCATTTCTGCATGTTTTAATAATTAAAAAAAAAACATTAGTATTTATATGTGACAAAAAAATTATATCAGGGGAAGAGAGCAACCCATCTTCTTGTTTCACAGTCAGTGAATTTAAAATGATTAATGTTGGTTTTTCTCGATTACTATGTTACATCAGTACATCAGCCAGCCTAAGTGTGAGTGAGCAACATAGACAGTTTGATTATGAAAACAGAGAGGGAAATCCTCTGCCCCAAAGTTCACTAGACACCAGCTGGCCTGGCAGAGACTTGTGACAGCTTCAGCACAAAATCTCACAGGAGGCCATGACGGTCAAACACCTGCAGAACGAACAGTGTGCACGCTCAGAACACTACAAAAACAACATCCTCATACAGCTTCTTCTGCATCAAACTACTTTAAAAAATAAAATATGAAAGAGTTCAACTTTCTGACTTTGCTGTCTGTTGCTTGTTGATTTTCACCCTGAACAAACTGCCTGAATTAGTTTTACATGCAACATGCAACAGTAGTACACACATTACAAAAAAAAAAATGTTTTTTTTTCTTTTAACCGTGAGAAAACTTACACTGTTTAACTGGAACTGCTTGTTGATATATGAAGCTTTTAAAATCATGTGGCATCAAGTTGTTGAAGACAGGTATGCTGACGGACCTGTTGTGAGGCTCCAGGGCACACACACCACACACACACACACACACACACACACACACAAAGCTATGTTTCCTTGTTGCAGGAAAACTGAATACACAAACAAAAGAGGCCAATTTTGAAGCCAAATGTTGGATTGGCTGTTGCACAGCTGTTGCTGTGTGATGATGGCCAGTTGCAGGAAAAGTCTGCAAATATATTGAGCCAAAAACACTGCAAGATTGATGAATACAATCAAACTTGCTCTGCAGAAAGTAAGAAATAGACAGAGATTTACTTCTCTCGTGTTGCCTTCTTATACTGTGAGTAGGAAATGTGAGTGTTTCAGCTAATGGGCTCTATACTGTAAAATTACACGAGACTCAAATTTCCGATGGAAAGAAAGAGAAGGAAACAGGAAATAACTGACAAAAAACACCAGATAGACAAAGATATTGAAAAGAAAAAAGATTTTAATAGCAAGCTTTTGAAGAATGTGTGTATGCGCGAGTGTGCTCATGCTTGTCAGAGCCGGCTGGGCCACCCCACCCTGTTTAAAGTCACTCTGACGTCAAAGCCATGTGTGCAGGCCCTTAATGCAGACAGGATGGAGCAAGTATTTATTTTACTTTGGTTCTCCCCTTCGAGAAAACGGGGCCCTCCATAAACACTGACTTCAGAGAAGTTTTGCTCATTCATAGCCGAGCTACAGCCAGCGCTGAGATCACCAAGCAAGATCTGCAAAAGTCCAACGCATGTGCTGCAGTGACGAGACAAAAAAACCTAAGACGGACTGAGGAAGTCTGACATCAAAAACAAGACATGCAGCTTGAGGATATGCGAGAATGCACATTCCTTTCCTGAAAGAAAAAAAGTTATAGAAAGCGGGGTCATCCCGGTCGTACATCAGTAAGATGTAGCAACATGTCACCAGCTTTTCTGGTTTGAGTTAGACTGGCCACAGTTGCCTCACATCACTCCCCTCTCCATTTCCCCTTGTTTCCTGTCACTCGGTACTGTCACCCATCCAACCAAAGCAAAATGCCACAAAAAAGGCCAGAAAAACTGTTTTGGCAACAGCTGAATAGATGACCCAACATAACACTCAGCTTGTTTAAAGTAACTTTATGTAACCACGTCTTTCTTTTTGATAACAGCCAACAGTCTGTCATTTGTTAAAGGGGACACAAGTGCCATTTGTTCAAATGTGAATAGAGAAATTATATACGCACAAATATATATAAATAAATAAATACAAATTATAGCAGACAAAGTCACTAGCAGTGTTATTTATCTTCCTGAAG